CGATTGATTGATTTCATCTGTATGCAGCAGAGTTGTTTGTGTTTCCTGTGAGTGAGTGAGTGAGTGATTGACTGCTCCAGTATATTGTCAATGTGCATGAAGTTGCATCCGAAATTCCGCCATCCATCCACACACGATCCACGACACATGCATACACACCTCTATACACTGCAAGTCATCACACTCAGTCAATTCAATTCAATTCAATTTCATCTCATCACATCGGCAATCGCCACTGAACTCTGTCTGCACAAGAAGATTTCCGCACAACAGTCTCCTCTGCATCAACCTATTAGCCAGATGGGAAGGAAATGTGATGATGAGTTAACATCGCCTTGTAGGTGGTATTTGTGTGAGCGTTGAAGTCAGCCTCACTCGTCATTGCTCTCCTCATCTTCATAGAATCGTGCATATCCATGGTCGTTTGTTGCATGTGATTGAGTACAGTACCGGTCGTGTGACAGGCATGGGAAATCAGTCGACAAATAACTCCGTGGAAAGCGAGAGAGACACATGGATGAATTTACGTAACGATTGGCGTAAAAGCTCTGTGTATGTATGTATGCATGTGTGTAATTATATAAACTGAGAGTGCTAGAGTTACTTAGACAGATGTCCAGAGGGAGATATAGATAGATAGATAGATAAACAGGTATGGAGTTAGATAGGCAGAATTATAGACAGACAGATAGATAGACAGACATATAGATAGATTGATAGAAAGATGGATGGATAGACTTTTGGTTTGATAGACAGTTAGATGGTTAGATAGATAGTTAAATATATAGATATATGAAATGATGTACGGTGGCCTTTATTCGTGGCTTGTTTGGTGTGTCGGTATTGCCAGATATACAAAGAGAATGAATCTTTAGTTAAGCAGACAGATCCTTTGAAGCAATTCAAACGGATTCAATCGACTGGTTCAACTGTATTCCAGAGTAATATGAGTGAAATTAGGCGTAGTTTAGCGCAGTTCGTTTCAATGAACGATGATATACAGTATGATTGCATTTGCATTTGCTGAAACAACTTCCTCGTGAATCCAAGTTTATCAAATATGTCTGTTTATTTATTTCAGAAGTGGAGGTCAAATCCGATGTTGAAAGTGAGTGTGTGGTGTTTTGTTGATGCACAGCATTCTTCACAGCCTAGGTGAGATGTCATTCTCAACACCCTCAAGAATCACTTATTCACTCACTCACTCACTCACGCACTCAACCATCCACTCACTCAATCACTCACTCACTCACACGCTGAGAGGCATTTCAATTCACTCACTGACTATATCTGACGTTGATGATTTCGTCGATTGATTGATTTCATCTGTATGCAGCAGAGTTGTTTGTGTTTCCTGTGAGTGAGTGAGTGAGTGATTGACTGCTCCAGTATATTGTCAATGTGCATGAAGTTGCATCCGAAATTCCGCCATCCATCCACACACGATCCACGACATATGCATACACACCTCTATACACTGCAAGTCATCGCACTCAGTCAATTCAATTCAATTCAATTTCATCTCATCACATCGGCAATCGCCACTGAACTCTGTCTGCACAAGAAGATTTCCGCACAACAGTCTCCTCTGCATCAACCTATTAGCCAGATGGGAAGGAAATGTGATGATGAGTTAACATCGCCTTGTAGGTGGTATTTGTGTGAGCGTTGAAGTCAGCCTCACTCGTCATTGCTCTCCTCATCTTCATAGAATCGTGCATATCCATGGTCGTTTGTTGCATGTGATTGAGTACAGTACCGGTCGTGTGACAGGCATGGGAAATCAGTCGACAAATAACTCCGTGGAAAGCGAGAGAGACACATGGATGAATTTACGTAACGATTGGCGTAAAAGCTCTGTGTATGTATGTATGCATGTGTGTAATTATATAAACTGAGAGTGCCAGAGTTACTTAGACAGATGTCCAGAGGGAGATATAGATAGATAGATAGATAAACAGGTATGGAGTTAGATAGGCAGAATTATAGACAGACAGATAGATAGACAGACATATAGATAGATTGATAGAAAGATGGATGGATAGACTTTTGGTTTGATAGACAGTTAGATGGTTAGATAGATAGTTAAATATATAGATATATGAAATGATGTACGGTGGCCTTTATTCGTGGCTTGTTTGGTGTGTCGGTATTGCCAGATATACAAAGAGAATGAATCTTTAGTTAAGCAGACAGATCCTTTGAAGCAATTCAAACGGATTCAATCGACTGGTTCAACTGTATTCCAGAGTAATATGAGTGAAATTAGGCGTAGTTTAGCGCAGTTCGTTTCAATGAACGATGATATACAGTATGATTGCATTTGCATTTGCTGAAACAACTTCCTCGTGAATCCAAGTTTATCAAATATGTCTGTTTATTTATTTCAGAAGCGGAAGACAATTCCGATGATGAAAGTGAGTGTGTGGTGTTTTGTTGATGCACAGCATTCTTCACAGCCTAGGTGAGATGTCATTCTCAACACCCTCAAGAATCACTTATTCACTCACTCACTCACTCACGCACTCAACCATCCACTCACTCAATCACTCACTCACTCACTCACACGCTGAGAGGCATTTCAATTCACTCACTGACTATATCTGACGTTGATGATTTCGTCGATTGATTGATTTCATCTGTATGCAGCAGAGTTGTTTGTGTTTCCTGTGAGTGAGTGAGTGAGTGATTGACTGCTCCAGTATATTGTCAATGTGCATGAAGTTGCATCCGAAATTCCGCCATCCATCCACACACGATCCACGACATATGCATACACACCTCTATACACTGCAAGTCATCGCACTCAGTCAATTCAATTCAATTCCATTTCATCTCATCACATCGGCAATCGCCACTGAACTCTGTCTGCACAAGAAGATTTCCGCACAACAGTCTCCTCTGCATCAACCTATTAGCCAGATGGGAAGGAAATGTGATGATGAGTTAACATCGCCTTGTAGGTGGTATTTGTGTGAGCGTTGAAATCAGGCTCACTCGTCATTGCTCTCCTCATCTTCATAGAATCGTGCATATCCATGGTCGTTTGTTGCATGTGATTGAGTACAGTACCGGTCGTGTGACAGGCATGGGAAATCAGTCGACAAATAACTCCGTGGAAAGCGAGAGAGACACATGGATGAATTTACGTAACGATTGGCGTAAAAGCTCTATGTATGTATGTATGCATGTGTGTAATTATATAAACTGAGAGTGCCAGAGTTACTTAGACAGATGTCCAGAGGGAGATATAGATAGATAGATAGATAAACAGGTAGACAGTTAGATAGTCAGATATATAGACAGATAGACAGATAGATAGATAGACAGACATATAGATAGATAGATAGATAGATGGATGGATAGACTTTTGGTTTGATAGACAGTTAGATGGTTAGATAGATAGTTAAATATATAGATATATGAAATGATGTACGGTGGCCTTTATTCGTGGCTTGTTTGGTGTGTCGGTATTGCCAGATATACAAAGAGAATGAATCTTTAGTTAAGCAGACAGATCCTTTGAAGCAATTCAAACGGATTCAATCGACTGGTTCAACTGTATTCCAGAGTAATATGAGTGAAATTAGGCGTAGTTTAGCGCAGTTCGTTTCAATGAACGATGATATACAGTATGATTGCATTTGCATTTGCTGAAACAACTTCCTCGTGAATCCAAGTTTATCAAATATGTCTGTTTATTTATTTCAGAAGTGGAGGTCAAATCCGATGATGAAAGTGAGTGTGTGGTGTTTTGTTGATGCACAGCATTCTTCACAGCCTAGGTGAGATGTCATTCTCAACACCCTGAAGAATCACTTATTCACTCACTCACTCACTCACGCACTCAACCATCCACTCACTCACACGCTGAGAGGCATTTCAATTCACTCACTGACTATATCTGACGTTGATGATTTCGTCGATTGATTGATTTCATCTGTATGCAGCAGAGTTGTTTGTGTTTCCTGTGAGTGAGTGAGTGAGTGATTGACTGCTCCAGTATATTGTCAATGTGCATGAAGTTGCTTCCGAAATTCCGCCATCCATCCACACACGATCCACGACACATGCATACACACCTCTATACACTGCAAGTCATCGCACTCAGTCAATTCAATTCAATTCAATTTCATCTCATCACATCGGCAATCGCCACTGAACTCTGTCTGCACAAGAAGATTTCCGCACAACAGTCTCCTCTGCATCAACCTATTAGCCAGATGGGAAGGAAATGTGATGATGAGTTAACATCGCCTTGTAGGTGGTATTTGTGTGATCGTTGAAATCAGGCTCACTCGTCATTGCTCTCCTCATCTTCATAGAATCGTGCATATCCATGGTCGTTTGTTGCATGTGATTGAGTACAGTACCGGTCGTGTGACAGGCATGGGAAATCAGTCGACAAATAACTCCGTGGAAAGCGAGAGAGACACATGGATGAATTTACGTAACGATTGGCGTAAAAGCTCTATGTATGTATGCATGTGTGTAATTATATAAACTGAGAGTGCTAGAGTTACTTAGACAGATGTCCAGAGGGAGATATAGATAGATAGATAGATAAACAGGTATGGAGTTAGATAGGCAGAATTATAGACAGACAGATAGATAGACAGACATATAGATAGATAGATAGAAAGATGGATGGATAGACTTTTGGTTTGATAGACAGTTAGATGGTTAGATAGATAGTTAAATATATAGATATATGAAATGATGTACGGTGGCCTTTATTCGTGGCTTGTTTGGTGTGTCGGTATTGCCAGATATACAAAGAGAATGAATCTTTAGTTAAGCAGACAGATCCTTTGAAGCAATTCAAACGGATTCAATCGACTGGTTCAACTGTATTCCAGAGTAATATGAGTGAAATTAGGCGTAGTTTAGCGCAGTTCGTTTCAATGAACGATGATATACAGTATGATTGCATTTGCATTTGCTGAAACAACTTCCCCGTGTATCCAATTTTATCAAATATATCTGTTTATTTATTTCAGACGTGGAACACAAATCCGATGATGAAAGTGAGTGTGTGGTGTTTTGTTGATTGACAGCATTCTTCACAGCCTAGGTGAGATGTCATTCTCAACACCCTCAAGAATCAATTATTCACTCACTCACTCACTCACGCACTCAACCACCCACTCACTCACACGCTGAGAGGCATTTCAATTCACTCACTGACTATATCTGACGTTGATGATTTCGTCGATTGATTGATTTCATCTGTATGCAGCAGAGTTGTTTGTGTTTCCTGTGAGTGAGTGAGTGAGTGATTGACTGCTCCAGTATATTGTCAATGTGCATGAAGTTGCATCCGAAATTCCGCCATCCATCCACACACGATCCACGACATATGCATACACACCTCCATACATTGCAAGTCATCACACTCAGTCAATTCAATTCAATTCAATTTCATCTCATCACATCGGCAATCGCCATTGAACTCTGTCTGCACAAGAAGATTTCCGCACAACAGTCTCCTCTGCATCAACCTATTAGCCAGATGGGAAGGAAATGTGATGATGAGTTAACATCGCCTTGTAGGTGATATTTGCGTGAGCGTTGAAATCAGCCTCACTCGTCATTGCTCTCCTCATCTTCATAGAATCGTGCATATCCATGGTCGTTTGTTGCATGTGATTGAGTTCAGTACCGGTCGTGTGAAAGGCATGGGAAATCAGTCGACAAATAACTCCGTGGAAAGCGAGAGAGACACATGGATGAATTTACGTAACGATTGGCGTAAAAGCTCTATGTATGTATGCATGTGTGTAATTATATAAACTGAGAGTGCTAGAGTTACTTAGACAGATGTCCAGAGGGAGATATAGATAGATAGATAGATAAACAGGTATGGAGTTAGATAGGCAGAATTATAGACAGACAGATAGATAGACAGACATATAGATAGATTGATAGAAAGATGGATGGATAGACTTTTGGTTTGATAGACAGTTAGATGGTTAGATAGATAGTTAAATATATAGATATATGAAATGATGTACGGTGGCCTTTATTCGTGGCTTGTTTGGTGTGTCGGTATTGCCAGATATACAAAGAGAATGAATCTTTAGTTAAGCAGACAGATCCTTTGAAGCAATTCAAACGGATTCAATCGACTGGTTCAACTGTATTCCAGAGTAATATGAGTGAAATTAGGCGTAGTTTAGCGCAGTTCGTTTCAATGAACGATGATATACAGTATGATTGCATTTGCATTTGCTGAAACAACTTCCCCGTGTATCCAATTTTATCAAATATATCTGTTTATTTATTTCAGACGTGGAACACAAATCCGATGTTGAAAGTGAGTGTGTGGTGTTTTGTTGATTGACAGCATTCTTCACAGCCTAGGTGAGATGTCATTCTCAACACCCTCAAGAATCACTTATTCACTCACTCACTCACTCACGCACTCAACCATCCACTCACTCACACGCTGAGAGGCATTTCAATTCACTCACTGACTATATCTGACGTTGATGATTTCGTCGATTGATTGATTTCATCTGTATGCAGCAGAGTTGTTTGTGTTTCCTGTGAGTGAGTGAGTGAGTGAGTGATTGACTGCTCCAGTATATTGTCAATGTGCATGAAGTTGCTTCCGAAATTCCGCCATCCATCCACACACGATCCACGACACATGCATACACACCTCTATACACTGCAAGTCATCGCACTCAGTCAATTCAATTCAATTCCATTTCATCTCATCACATCGGCAATCGCCACTGAACTCTGTCTGCACAAGAAGATTTCCGCACAACAGTCTCCTCTGCATCAACCTATTAGCCAGATGGGAAGGAAATGTGATGATGAGTTAACATCGCCTTGTAGGTGGTATTTGTGTGAGCGTTGAAATCAGGCTCACTCGTCATTGCTCTCCTCATCTTCATAGAATCGTGCATATCCATGGTCGTTTGTTGCATGTGATTCAGTACAGTACCGGTCGTGTGACAGGCATGGGAAATCAGTCGACAAATAACTCCGTGGAAAGCGAGAGAGACACATGGATGAATTTACGTAACGATTGGCGTAAAAGCTCTATGTATGTATGTATACGTATAATTAATTATATAAACTGAGAGTGCTAGAGTTACTGAGACAGATGTCCAGAGGGAGATATAGATAGATAGATAAACAGGTATGGAGTTAGATAGGCAGAATTATAGACAGACAGATAGATAGACAGACATATAGATAGATAGATAGAAAGATGGATGGATAGACTTTTGGTTTGATAGACAGTTAGATGGTTAGATAGATAGTTAAATATATAGATATATGAAATGATGTACGGTGGCCTTTATTCGTGGCTTGTTTGGTGTGTCGGTATTGCCAGATATACAAAGAGAATGAATCTTTAGTTAAGCAGACAGATCCTTTGAAGCAATTCAAACGGATTCAATCGACTGGTTCAACTGTATTCCAGAGTAATATGAGTGAAATTAGGCGTAGTTTAGCGCAGTTCGTTTCAATGAACGATGATATACAGTATGATTGCATTTGCATTTGCTGAAACAACTTCCCCGTGTATCCAAGTTTATCAAATATGTCTGTTTATTTATTTCAGACGTGGAACACAAATCCGATGTTGAAAGTGAGTGTGTGGTGTTTTGTTGATTGACAGCATTCTTCACAGCCTAGGTGAGATGTCATTCTCAACACCCTCAAGAATCACTTATTCACTCACTCACTCACTCACGGACTCAACCATCCACTCACTCACACGCTGAGAGGCATTTCAATTCACTCACTGACTATATCTGACGTTGATGATTTCGTCGATTGATTGATTTCATCTGTATGCAGCAGAGTTGTTTGTGTTTCCTGTGAGTGAGTGAGTGAGTGAGTGATTGACTGCTCCAGTATATTGTCAATGTGCATGAAGTTGCTTCCGAAATTCCGCCATCCATCCACACACGATCCACGACACATGCATACACACCTCTATACACTGCAAGTCATCGCACTCAGTCAATTCAATTCAATTCAATTCAATTTCATCTCATCACATCGGCAATCGCCACTGAACTCTGTCTGCACAAGAAGATTTCCGCACAACAGTCTCCTCTGCATCAACCTATTAGCCAGATGGGAAGGAAATGTGATGATGAGTTAACATCGCCTTGTAGGTGGTATTTGTGTGAGCGTTGAAATCAGCCTCACTCGTCATTGCTCTCCTCATCTTCATAGAATCGTGCATATCCATGGTCGTTTGTTGCATGTGATTGAGTACAGTACCGGTCGTGTGACAGGCATGGGAAATCAGTCGACAAATAACTCCGTGGAAAGCGAGAGAGACACATGGATGAATTTACGTAACGATTGGCGTAAAAGCTCTATGTATGTATGCATGTGTGTAATTATATAAACTGAGAGTGCCAGAGTTACTTAGACAGATGTCCAGAGGGAGATATAGATAGATAGATAGATAAACAGGTATGGAGTTAGATAGGCAGAATTATAGACAGACAGATAGATAGACAGACATATAGATAGATTGATAGAAAGATGGATGGATAGACTTTTGGTTTGATAGACAGTTAGATGGTTAGATAGATAGTTAAATATATAGATATATGAAATGATGTACGGTGGCCTTTATTCGTGGCTTGTTTGGTGTGTCGGTATTGCCAGATATACAAAGAGAATGAATCTTTAGTTAAGCAGACAGATCCTTTGAAGCAATTCAAACGGATTCAATCGACTGGTTCAACTGTATTCCAGAGTAATATGAGTGAAATTAGGCGTAGTTTAGCGCAGTTCGTTTCAATGAACGATGATATACAGTATGATTGCATTTGCATTTGCTGAAACAACTTCCCCGTGTATCCAATTTTATCAAATATATCTGTTTATTTATTTCAGACGTGGAACACAAATCCGATGTTGAAAGTGAGTGTGTGGTGTTTTGTTGATTGACAGCATTCTTCACAGCCTAGGTGAGATGTCATTCTCAACACCCTCAAGAATCAATTATTCACTCACTCACTCACTCACGCACTCAACCATCCACTCACTCACACGCTGAGAGGCATTTCAATTCACTCACTGACTATATCTGACGTTGATGATTTCGTCGATTGATTGATTTCATCTGTATGCAGCAGAGTTGTTTGTGTTTCCTGTGAGTGAGTGAGTGATTGATTGACTGCTCCAGTATATTGTCAATGTGCATGAAGTTGCATCCGAAATTCCGCCATCCAACCACACACGATCCACGACATATGCATACACACCTCTATACACTGCAAGTCATCACACTCAGTCAATTCAATTCAATTCAATTTCATCTCATCACATCGGCAATCGCCACTGAACTCTGTCTGCACAAGAAGATTTCCGCACAACAGTCTCCTCTGCATCAACCTATTAGCCAGATGGGAAGGAAATGTGATGATGAGTTAACATCGCCTTGTAGGTGGTATTTGTGTGAGCGTTGAAATCAGGCTCACTCGTCATTGCTCTCCTCATCTTCATAGAATCGTGCATATCCATGGTCGTTTGTTGCATGTGATTCAGTTCAGTACCGGTCGTGTGACAGGCATGGGAAATCAGTCGACAAATAACTCCGTGGAAAGCGAGAGAGACACATGGATGAATTTACGTAACGATTGGCGTAAAAGCTCTATGTATGTATGCATGTGTGTAATTATATAAACTGAGAGTGCTAGAGTTACTTAGACAGATGTCCAGAGGGAGATATAGATAGATAGATAGATAAACAGGTATGGAGTTAGATAGGCAGAATTATAGACAGACAGATAGATAGACAGACATATAGATAGATAGATAGATGGATAGATTTTTAGTTTGATAGACAGTTAGATGGTTAGATAGATAGTTAAATATATAGATATATGAAATGATGTACGGTGGCCTTTATTCGTGGCTTGTTTGGTGTGTCGGTATTGCCAGATATACAAAGAGAATGAATCTTTAGTTAAGCAGACAGATCCTTTGAAGCAATTCAAACGGATTCAATCGACTGGTTCAACTGTATTCCAGAGTAATATGAGTGAAATTAGGCGTAGTTTAGCGCAGTTCGTTTCAATGAACGATGATATACAGTATGATTGCATTTGCATTTGCTGAAAGAACTTCCTCGTGAATCCAAGTTTATCAAATATGTCTGTTTATTTATTTCAGACGTGGAACACAAATCCGATGTTGAAAGTGAGTGTGTGGTGTTTTGTTGATTGACAGCATTCTTCACAGCCTAGGTGAGATGTCATTCTCAACACCCTCAAGAATCAATTATTCACTCACTCACTCACTCACGCACTCAACCATCCACTCACTCACACGCTGAGAGGCATTTCAATTCACTCACTGACTATATCTGACGTTGATGATTTCGTCGATTGATTGATTTCATCTTTATGCAGCAATATCTTTTTTTTTTGGGAGACAGCATTTATTTCTTTTTTTTTGAAGACGTTTTTCTGGAAGCTTTGGTGGCTTATATCGCTATTAATTCTGCTGGTGTTATGGGCGCTTAAAATAATTTGATTCTCTAATACGTAGTCACTGTCTTAGTGTCATACTTTATTTAAATATTCCTCATTATATAGGTCAATTTTATGCAGAATTGTATTTTTTCACCTGTCATCATATGATAGGTTTATGTCATTTTATGTTTTGCACACTTATTTCTTATTAGGAATGAGCAATTCAATTTGTAATTTAAGATTTAGTAATCACCTAGTGGCTGCGAATTCTTTGAATTGGAATTTGGTGTTGTCCAATGATTCATATAATTATTGTACGCTTGGAGACTCATGAGCTGACGAGGTTGAATGTGGGTTTCTTCAGGTTAAAGTGAATTTCAGTCCTTTTATTAGCGCTTCACTCAATGAAGTTACATCTTAAGCATAGAATAACTCATTCAGCTATATTTTCTTTCGCTACCACGATCATCATTCATGCTGATCTGTGTGCAATTTGCTTTTTATACCAACTTGTTTTCTCAGTCAGTGTAACTTTTAGATGTTTGTTATTGGTGTGCTTTTTCTTAACAGCAACCATTTGAATCTCATTGGAGCCATTGTCTTTCACTTTATTTTCAGATGGTGCTAACAGGTTTATTAATCACTGTAAGAGTTTACCACAGTTTATTTCAGAGATCTTCTCTCTCATACAGTAGGCGTTTTACTGATAGAGTACTAATAGCTATTGGAGACGGTTGTGTGGAATATCTCCATATGCTTTAAAAATGTATGTTTGATCCCCAAAAGTGTGGTGGAACGTAAGCTTCATTTCCGCTTATCAGATTTTCAATCTGCTGCCCACTTTCCACCATGATTTTATTCTATCTGTTGTTGAGTCTTCGATCCTAGCGACATGTCATACCATTCTTTGACGCATGCCCAACCCCTGTATTCTCGGCAGTTATAGGCTTCAATCTACAATAGCCACTGGTGGTAGATTTTCTGCAATTTTGTGAATATTCATTGTAAAGACTTCATGATGTATTCAGCTGATTGTCCATTGTAAATGTGAAGCTTCAGTTCCCATCGAACTATAACATACATTGTGACCATCGCTGCATACTAAAAGCCATTCATTTATGGAGCAAATTTCACCAAAACTCAGAACAGCATAATGTTGTATTGTTGAAAAAAATCAATATCGCCATGATTATTCTCGGAGGAGTAGGGAACTTTCGACAAAATTGAGTAAGCAAAAGCAGTTTTTTACTTCGTAGTGGTTGAATGCATTGTGGGATGAGTGTAACTTCTGATTACAGAGATTTTTGTTGTTAGTTTGTGAACTTCAGAAATAGTTGAATACACGAGCAATCTGAGTTCTAATTATTCCGCATTCTAATTCATCATACGAGATTTTATTTTTGTATGTTTTACTTGGTAAATTATAAAGAGTTAGTTAAATAGCTTGAGGCAAATATTTTTGTCTATTTCAGATGATTCGAGTTCAACATTAGACGCATACGCATATTCATACGTTGAAGTTGTGAATTATAAATGTATGTGCTTATATCACCAAAAATTATTTTATGGTTGTCTGTTTACTTTAGACTGTTCTGTAATGATCGGTGTTCAGTTCCACCTATTACTCATGTCGCTTAACCTGATTCGTAGGTGGCTAATCAACTGACTCAATCAGTGACAATACTGAGAAGGTTTTTAAAAATCTTCATTGCAACTGCACTTCTCCGTCAAAATTCAGGGAGACATATTTCTAATGTCAGCAGATGTATGTAATATCACCTAATTGTAATGACATGCAAGTCGTTATTGCGAGGTAGAGCAGGAAATCGGTGCTTCGATGTGAGTGATATTGCTTCATCTATTTCAGGAAACTTGATAATCTCCAGGAGAATACTTTGCATCTATGTGGATATTACAGACTGGGATGGAGTGAATAGCAGTTGGAAAGTGATTTTAATAAGATGGAAAGTCCCAATCACTTGGTACTGGTTATCAGCGGATTGTGCGATAAATATTTACATTTATCTGCAGCTGTGTCAGTAATGCAAGAGATGCATTCACACTTGATGAATAATTAGATACACAAAGGTAGAAAGCCTACAGGTCGACATTTAATCTTTTGGGACTTTTACTCAAGCATTAAATGACCCACACACTCAACGCTTATTTCCACCATTTTGTTTGTTTCAGTTCACATGATTGAAATTCAGACTTACAAAAATCGCTACAATGTCGAAGGAACAATAAAACCTGGTGAGTAATTTTATCAAGATCTCTACATGGTTTTATATAAATAACAATGAAAGAATTATTCACATATTGAGTCCTAAGAAAAAGACGTCGATAGCAAAGACAATTTTCTTTTCGACGATTTATTTTCTCAAGCTGTACAATCGCAATTATATTTAACAAAGAAATTATAAGACCAATCAGTACCGGTGAAATTTGTCACCTTCTAGGTTTCACCTTGCCTTACGTATTAATTTTATTCAAGGACAAATTTTACTAATTTCTGGTTGGTCTTATAATATCTTTGTAAAATAAAATTACAGCTTATGAAATAATCCTTGAAAAGAAAACTTTCCTCGCTTTTCACGTCTTTTTCAAATACATGTCAGTCTTGAATATATGGTAAGGTTTTATTTTGATCCTGCAGAAGCATTGGTTTGACTACACAGCGTGAAGACCCACATCTCCTTCCTTGTTCTGGGTGGAGTAGACTTGCAAATTGATTTAAAGGCGGTGAGGTCCTGTTCTGCTTTTCAAATCTCAGCTGATTGCGAAGTCTTTACCCTTGCCACCACGTGTAGGTGAAATGCTGCTGGCTGGGTAAGTATAGGAAATTACTTCCTTAGCATCTCTGCCGTTACCGTTGGCTGGCTGATGAGTTGTGCTCATCACTTCTATATTCTTTACGCTCACCTGAAGACGTATCTTCCCTGGCTGCTTCTTCTACCAACGTGTTTGTCTCCACTTTCAGGTCTTCGAATTTGCGTGGCACTTGATATAATCCGTCCGCAAAGTTCTAAGCTTCTTGAATCTTCTTGTTGCAGAATCGTTTGACCGTTATCTTGCTATTCACGGTCTGTTACACAACAGAGTCGACCAAGACAGAGAATAACATCAGTGATCAACCTTACTGAGTTTTTCGTTGTGGATCTCTTGAAATTCGCCATAATAACGTAGCACTCCGTAGTTTGCATTGCTGTCGAAATTATTTCAGAGTCAATGAATTTGAAGTAGACATTTAATTCCAATCCTATGCTCTCTTCTATGATGAAGTGGAGCGTTGCGACTTGATCTGTGCATGAATTGCCTTTCCTTAATCCAGCGCGTCATTGAGGGAGTTTCACCTGCGATCCTTTTCTCGTTTTTATGTTCAGCATGTTGAGTCATCATATTCCTGAGATTGAGGCGAGGAGTTTCTGATATTTGGTGTACACAAGTGTCACAACACATGTCATTTTGTGTATATTGTATTGCTACCTGCAGACAACAACTGACTTAAGGTACAGAAGCATCCACCATCCGCATACTTTTCACCCACAACCTCTCGACCTACGACACGTTACCTTCCCTTCTTGTTTGCTTCCATTTTCTCATTTTGATGTTGCTAATTGGTGTCGTGTACATTACGACAAGCAGTTGTCGACAGGATTCCTCCCCCCTCTTGGTTCATCTCGCTTGCAGAAGCACTGCACTGAAGTCTGGTATTTTTTAAATGATTATGTTGTGCGTCTGTGAGTTGATGAAGGCTAATTTGAATCGAGCGTCAAAACCAGTATACAATTTAGATTGTCTTCGCTGGAGGAAAGTGAAATTCTGAAGTGTTACCACCATCTGTGAAATGAAATCATCGAACATTTATTTACTTTAATGAATTCGAATCAAGCGAGCAAGACATACTTTAGAGAATAAAATGGCACCATCATTTATTTCATTGTGTCTGAGCTGTAAGAAAATGATTAGAAGCGCAAAAAAATTAAAGATGGTGCGGTTTTATTCTCCAAAACTGTTGTTCTCGCTTTATTCGAACTCATTGTACTCAGACAGTATTTTAAAAAAATACATAGTGGAGCTTGACAACGAAAATGCAGTCGAAGGAAACTCCCGGGTGAATATTAGCACATTTTCATGCTTTATGTTGATTACAAAGTTCAAATAAATCACTGGTGAATGAATAAACAAAGTATTAGATGCATGATTAGAACTATATTTGAGTTTAGGAATCGTAAGATGGAAATGCGTTTGTTTACAAAACTTCAGGTTCATTCTACTAAACCTCATATATTCCAGAGCCTAATTCTTCAGTAACTTGAACAGTAGCCAGCCTTTCCGTCGTCAATTTACCGATGCTGAAACACGCACGACTTTCGTCATCCAAAGATTTTAAAGGACTGATCGTAGGCACGAAATGTCACCTACTGGATAGACTTAAGTGTGCTGCTAACTGCACAGGGTTAATCACAGGGTACAGCACATAAATGATCAGTGCTTTCACAAGAACCTACAACCAATAAATGTTATTCTAAGAACTTCTTCAATATGCAAGACCAGCGAACAACTAGAAAGCGTTTTGTTAACTTGAGCAGAAAAGAATGCCGAATTACAAAGATATGCGGCAAATAGGAAGTAAGAAATATGCGCAGTGCATCATTCCGCTAGTCAAAATTCTTTCAACAAATAACCTGTATCAACTGACATTATGGCATGCACTAATTTTGTGTTTTTTCACTTCAAACAGAAATCCTGAGACTTGAACACCTATATCAAAGTAAATGGGCGAAGGAATTTCTCGAATGTAAGTCCTGGGTTGCATGTTCATGATTGTTTGGTGCTCGTGAATTGAACTGTGTCCATTAGCGGCATGTTTTTTCACTGAAGTTGAAAATGTTGGATTATGAATTGAAATGAATTGCAGTGTCATTTTAGATGTCCAATGCATTCAGTTACCTCACGAATAAATCACCAAAACTCGCACTTTTGAGAGTGATGTCCGGGTGCCAGCAGCACAGAAAGTTTTACCAACATATAGTCTGAAAACTTTTAAGGAGAATGAGGAATGAATTTCATACGCATATTTCGAAAAGTATTCCAGTGCACATCCTCTCAATGTGCACAGCATTAAATACTTAATTCCAACATAAATCGGGCCATCTGTAGAATGAATGCCGTTGATTCACCTTTCAATATTCTTTCGAATGCAGAAACAATTTAATCAAACGGAAAAGTTATGTAACACCTTAATCAAGTTGCCATGTATTAAAGCAAACAGCTTCAATGTTTTGCTTTGCTCTGTTTTACATTTCATGTCTGAAAAAAGCCTTTTAGTCCACACTTCGCGTTTTTTAATGTCCCCTTCTTATTATGCTTCCGACTAAAAGTTAATAGTTTTCCAAAATTACCTACACTTTTACAGCAATCGGTACAGAAAATGAGACGCTCGTGAATCTTTATACCGGTAGGTTATTTCATCCTAAAATAACAGATAGAGTGCATGAGACACCTTGTTACTGTTTGTGGAATGAAGGTTAGCTTGAAATCCTTTGGTGTGACAGATTTCACCGGAGTTGTTCACATAAATTTTTATTTGACAAGACTAACAAGTGAAGAAGTTATCCCTCATCTATTCGAATGCAATCTAGTCCATATAATGAAGTATTGCCAAATCGGTCGTCAACTCAATGAAGAGTAACGTGGTATTCAGTAGTGAAAAAAATTCCTCCATCATCCACTTTCTCTACAATGTCCTCTTCAACATAAGCTTGTTCAATATATGTATGATGTAGTGAAACAGCGTGCATCATTGATAACATTCCGAACATAATTTATAATCCAGAGATATGTCAAGTTCATTTGGAAAGCTGATTATGTAGTTCTATTTTTATCAAATGTCGTATGGTTGCATAAATCCACAGTTATTCAGTTACATTAATAAAATATTACTGTTATTCGTTCTCTGCGTTTCTGCATGAACCATCAAGCTGCTCGCTTCCAAAGATGTTTACAAATGGTTCAGTCCAGAATAAAAACATAGGAATAATATCGGTGATAGTAAATGGCCTTCTCTTAACTTCAAGTGATTCAATGAACTTTCTATTGTATGCCATTTCGCATTTGGCATAATCATATGCTTGTTGAATGAGATGCATAAGAGTATGCAGCACTTAGCAGTGTTTCTAAAACAAACGAGTTATTTCATGGTCAAATCTGTCGAAAGTATTCATAAATTTGATGAGGATGAGGAAACCAGTTGACTGCCATTCTAGCCTATGTTTGATGATGCCACGCAGTTGTGCAATCACACCAGCGCATGATTTGTCTTCCTTCAACCCAAAATGATCACAGTGGCAGCATTCATTCGTGATATCTGTTGGGATAGATGTGCCTAAGTATTATATCTAAGAATGACTTTCAGATTATTACGAAGATTTAATACTGTTGAAAATGTCGTCTGTTTATAAATGAACTTAATTCACACTTTCCTACTGTCGCAGTTTACAAATACAGTGCAGATTTTTGGCTATTTGAGGAATTAATTATGTACCGAAAAATGCTTCTTTTCTCTTTAGATGAATACAATAAGGCATTGGATGGAGATAAAGCTTTTAATAGAGAAGTCCTTGGTATGACTGATATATTTTTAAACAGCATTTATAATACTACTCAATCTGAAATTCATTATATTAAATTATTGTTCCCATGGGTTTCGAGTGGAAAATAGGACTTCAACAACACATCTCGTCTACCTTTTATTTTCCGCCGTTCTCCTCAACCGGGTCCACGACTGCCCATGATCTGTCACCTCCTCCCCACAAAATCTCCTCTAGGACGACCCACTCGTTGCTTCTCATTGGAATTTAACTTGAGAGACTGCCCGGTGCACGATGTCATCCAACGGGCTTCCCACTGTGTGCATTATCCATCTTTTTTTTCTCCTACACATCTGTTGAGCTGTCAGCTCTTGGTTGGCTTGTTCACAGCCAGAGTTTTTGCTGTTAATTCTTTCTGGTTGACCATTTGATTTTAATTATGGAGCTAGAGAAGGCTGATGTTGCCTAATGTCTGCGACGTGTCTAAAATATTTTTCGTTACACGTCACGTTTCTGATCCCTATAGAAAGATCGATTTGGCATTGGTGTTGAAAATGTGAATCTTGTTCTACATATTTTCAGTATGTTCTATAAGAAGATCTTCAAACTGGTTTCAGGTTGACGAAGGTGAATGTTGCCTTTCCGATTCTGGCTGGCTGCCTTTGACATCTTCATTTATTCCGTATGTGGTTGAAACGATGCTTCCTAGCCAGATAAGTGAAGGAGGTAACGACTGCCAGATCTCCACGTTTGATGGTGATTGATACTGATTGCTATTGTTGCTACTATTCGTTGGTTACTTTCATCACCTCCATTGTTTCTGTGTTCACCTGGAGTCTAGTCTTCTACCCTGCCACTTCTGTAGTTTGTTGCTTTTCGACCGTAAATCTTACAGATTGTGTGACATTAGACATTTATCATCTAAGAAATCTAGAACTTCTGGTGTCTTCTTATCGGAGGTTCAGCTTTCTATTGTCTTTTCACTCTTAATCAGAGCCTGACGCAAAATCCAGTGAACCGCAATTAGGAAATTCACTGGTGATAATAGGTAACCAGCTTTTCTTAATCCTCTATTCACTTCGAACGCCTCGCTCAGTTTTCCGTTGTGGATCACCTGACACTTGGTATTGTCATATAGCCAGCTGTTGATTGACGTTGATAAAGTTTTGGGCACGGCACACCGTAGTATTAAAGTAGTTTCCAAATTATTTCTCGGTCAACGCCACACTTTCGAAGGTGTTTTTTAAGACGATGTAGGGAGTCGAAGTAGAGGTTTGACTGTCATTCTGGGCTTTCTTCAATGACGATGTGTAGGCATGCGATTTGACCAGCAAATGATTTACTTTTTCTGAATCCGGCTTGACCCGGTGGATGGCGGAGTTCTGTATCCAGTGCATCGTTTAATCTCTTCAAGATGATGCAACTTGGTAGTTCTACTTGTCGTGGACAAGAGCATCAGTCCATCTCAGATCTTGCAGAGGCCTTAGTCGTGCTTCTTTGGCAAAGTGACGAGGTAGCCTTTCTTTCAATTGGTAGGTAATATTCCTTCCTTCCAAATAGTTTGTAATAATGGCGTGAGAAATTCTGCTACAGTGTCTGGGTCCATTTGTAGTGCTTCTGGGAGAGTTTCGTCCAGCCTTGTTGCCTTCTTGGTTGGATTTCAGTAGCTGTATCGCATTCACGACTTCTGCCTTTGTTGGGAGATTGGTGTCCACTAGTAGGCAGCTCTGTCCTTGTTGTCAATGGTGACTCCGTTTCTGCGCAAGTTGCAGGTGACAAACGATTCAACAGTCCTTCAAAATTATCAGCCCATCGTTTTCTTTGTTTTTCCTCCTTCGTAATCACGTTCCCTTGGTCATCTTTTATTGGGTTGATCTTTTCTCGAATAGAAACTTGGTTACCATGTGATATAATGTTTTGAGATATCTTCTAACTGCGCAATATTTATTCTGATTCATTTGCAAGCCAGTTTGTGGAAAATAGGGACCTTCCGTCTTTCTTTGGCACGAAGAAAATAAAAGACGGATTCAGCGAAGAAAATTTTCTTTATCGACGAAATCATCTTCAGAGGCTGTACAATCGTATTTATACTTACAAAAATATATAGTGGTCTATTATTGAGTAATAGGGGGTGACATAATTGATATAATTACTCAGAAGTGGCTTTAGAAGTGAAAATTAGAAGTTGAAAATTACGTGGTACTCAACGGCAAAAAAGATAGAAATTTGATAAGGTTAAAATCGCTTTTAAGTGAGAATAAAGGTATTTGAGTGTCAATTTAACAATAATAGACCACTATATATTTTTGTAAGTATAAATACGATTGTACAGCCTCTGAAGATGATTTCGTCGATAAAGAAAATTTTCTTCGCTGAATCCGTCTTTTATTTTCTTCATGACTCAATGGGTATTTTCTTTGGCACCCTTCTTTAATTCCTTATTCAGTGCAGTGTACATTGAACACAAAGTCTCCTTCTGTTTTCCGTCTTTGCATTAGGTCATCTTCTCTTTCACTACCCTACTCTCCTGTTTTCGATTAGCTTCCAGGTAGGTGTCCGTTGAGAGCCATTCTTTGTCTTATTTCTTCCTTCTCCTTTGTACATTTGTACGTGTTTCCTTGAACATCACCTTCCTATGCTCTTTCTTGCAGGTTTCTCCAGTGATGCTAGTTAGTGTCTCAGATTTGTAGTTAGGGCATCCGTACTGGTTTTTTCCTTCAGCTTCTGAATTTTGAACTTGAATTACATTTGCCCGTCTCCAGTTATTCTGTGGGATTTCAGATTCACATTGAAGTAAGTGATTGTCTGAGCCCTCATCTACTCCCCTTTTTGAATTTGTATCCAGCAGGCTGGCTGCGTATCCACTTCTTTCAGCATTATTGAGATGAAGTTTATCTGGTTTGTGGTCTATCCGTCAGTCAGAATCCATACTGCTTTGTGTAAATCCTTATAACTGTACACGCTTCCTCCATTCACCATATCATTAAGAGCGCAGAGGTCTGCGAATAGTTCTCCGTTCTCATTCATTTCTCCGGGCACGAGCATCTCGATCTATCGTAAATTCTCTCCCTGTATTATCTGCTCCCAGTTCGGCTTTCATTCACATCGCTCATAAGGAGTTTGATGTCAGTATTTGGCATGTTGTCCATTACTGTTTGTAGTTGTCAATAGAATTCTTCTTTCTTCTCTTGTCTCACACTGTTTTTAACACTGTGAATATCTTTCGATAATTGCGACCTTCTTTTTTGTTGAATCCTGCTCTCTTAATCCTGGAAAGAATTCTTTCCTACTGCATTAGGGTGAAATTTAGTAGTTAGTTGAAATTACGTAACTAGTTCTGTGAAAAATGTAAAGAACATTTTGAACTGTTGTTTTGTGTCACGTTGTGCTTACAATCTACAACCACACCTGCTTTTCCTCTATGTCAATCTCACTTCTCTACAAAACTATTTTAAGCAAAATCCCATGAGGATAAATCTGATCAACGTTAAGATATTTCTTATCAAAGTGGACCGCTCTCTTCTTTGTTCCTTTAAATTGATTTGTTACTAAGATCCACTGTTACGACAAATCACATTTCAGTGACATTCAGAAGATCTCCAGGTTATTTGTCTATTGATGGATTACATTATCGTGTCAACTGGTGATGACTTTCACAGTCTGCATATGTGAAATAATCTTGTGCCCTACTCGTACTCAGAAACCTGACCACATTCACAATGTGTTATGCATGGCTTAGGTGAATTCAATGGTCAATACTTGATACTATGATGAAATCTTTTGGATGCCTTAAACTGAGTCATACTAAAACATCTACGTAGATTACCACTGTCATCATGTTGGAGGAACATTCCACATCTCAAATAATCATGTGTCCCTATGTGACAAAGCTTATGAGTATTAAGTATGCCATGTTAATTTATATTTATTCCTTCAGCTAATCCACTACTATATAGTCTGTTCAAGACGAAGATTGAAAGAAAATGGGAAGATCGAAAAAATCTCGATATTGCAGAAGGTAATAATTTTATGATTCCATTATTTAGAAAAGCAGTAGGTTATTTCATATTTTGTAAGAAAGAAAATATTCTTCTTCTGTAATTAGGTAGAGTGCGTGAAGCCACATAAAACTCCTCAGTCTTACACAAGATTTACCACAACACATTCAGACGGCGATATTTTGTCTTAAACATCACACTCACGAGTGTGAATTCTGACTAATTAAGAGAGAGAGAAATCGTGAGACATCACGTACTGATAGTTCTAAATTAAATCTCGCATCAATTGGTGGCGTTGCATGAGAAAATGACATTCTGTAGGAGTGTTCTGCACATTTCATTGGTTCGTTTCACTGATTTATATTCACGATCGTGTGTATTTTAGGGCTTCTTGAATGTCCGCGATTTTCTCATCAGCTCTGTTATTCACACTTGATAGAGAATGATGACAATACCTTGCAGTGACTCGCTACGCATATAACAGAGAGTAGTTCATGCAATAAGCGACAGTAGGCAAACACCATTCATGTATTCACTTAGTCATATTTTGTCATTAGAATCAGTTGAAAATCGAGTACTTGCCATCGATATTTGAGCGAGATTACACTTACTGGATGGTTTGATAGCATTTTCTAATAAGGCTTTATACTTGGTGAGTAAGTTAATTGTGGTGTCATTTGAATTGAAGTCAGCTGAACCTGTCTTCAAATAAATTGATTATGATAATGTTGGATTCATTGTATACCTGGAAGTTTAATGACGGTGTTATGTATCAATTGCAGGCATATTTTTTGCGGACATATCAGAAAATTTGCAACATTACAAAGGTGTGTTTCGTTTCACTTTGTAACTTATTAACTGTGCTAAAATATATCTCATGACTTTGTGAATAATATTTTCTCTATTGTAATTAATATACAAATTCACAATTCCACTGTAATGTGGTGATACTTATTGGTAATACACCTTGTCTAAAAACATCTTTAATGGCAACCAGATACAGCAGCTAGTTGATTGTTCAACTCAATTCTGCAGTTGTTTGAATATGTGGGTAGGCTGTATCCACGCACCGAAACACCATGTCTGCTAAAATTCATTTTGTACTGACACATAAAACACCTCCGTCACAATATCGAAGTCTACATAGGTGAATTTCGATTGGAACTCTATTCACTGAAACATTATCTTGATGAGTAATACTCGATGAAAATTATGACAATCAACACTACTGTTCACCACTAAGTATTTATTTGCAATTGGTTATCTTCAAATTAGCAAACTGTGTACACCTTATCTTCATACGACTATTTGCACAGATCTTCTGTGTTGTGCTAATTCTCTCCTTTATATTGTACTTCTTCGTATTCTTATCACGTTTCCCATGTTTTACCAAAAAGGCTGAATCGTTTGCTTTCTTTGACGTCAAATCTATCTCCCTGCTCTTTACTGTTTTTTTTATGCCAATTAATGGCTCTTAATATTTTACTGATAAATTTTATCAGTAGAGCACGCTACTTCAGTCAGTAACATGCAAACCCTCTAAAAATGTAGCATGTCGTAATAAATGCAACTTGTATCAGGGGGGGGGGGAAATCATTGACGCGATTATTCATTCAATGATTTCACAAATTATTTTAAAAAATGTTATTAAAAATTCTTATCAATATTGTGAAATTATAGTCGACATTGAACTGACAAAGAAGGACTTGATGCAAGCGAAGAAAGCAATGAATGAATACCAAGGTAAAAGGATTCTGTAAATTCATATTGCACACTACGTTCACGAATAATAAACTTTTAATATGAAAATTCACTAGTCATTTTGTTTGCAGTTAGTCATTAGGTGCCCTATTTACTCATCAGTAACAGAGACGCATTAACTAGGCTGTATAAGATATCTTCTCCACACACCAGTACAATAAATTCTCAGATATAATCGGAAGACCAGTTTTACCACCAGTGAGTCGTCCCTCTTTTCGTGAGGAGTGGACTAAACTTTTGAAAGCTGATATATTCATTGTGTGGTGATAAGGAACGTGTTGAGAAAGAATCAAATTATTATGACATGTTTTCGGATCGTCAATATTTTATAATAATAATAATAATTTGCCTTATTCCGAAACAGTACTTGTGATACAGAATGGAATTTTCAGCATTATTTACGACAGTATTGCATCCAGTTAGTACATTATCAATAAATATAATTCTACATAGATTAAGGAAATCTCAGTTCATTATGACAACAACATATTGGCATGTCGGTAGCAAAGCCAAAGTTGAACAGTGTTTGAAGGTGTTAGAAAAGTAGGTGCTATCATATTTACTGGTATAAGCGCAAGAAACAAAGAAACAAAGCGGCACAGTTTGATGATAAATATGACAATGTACTTTCTTGACTAACGTTTTAAATATCATTCAACACTTCTTGTTTTTTAGCTGAACTTAAATGGCTGGAAGCACAAGCAGTCATCGCATCTAATGCATACAGAGATAGTTATAGTGAGTAAATATATTCATCAATTTGATTAGTTTACTGTAAAGCACAATGAAGCTATGGACAGGCCCAATACGATTCACCATTAGATGAACGTGGCAATGATTATGTATAATACGTAGGCGTGTTTAATTCACCGTCAGCACACATAGTTTCCAGTCAACTGTAAGAATGACGTGAAGCCAAGATCAACTTCACCCTTGCTTTACAATGGAAAGCAGACAGAAGAGTAGATCAAGTGTCCATCTTCTCAAAATATTGGTGTGAAAATTATAGTGAAGATGACATTGACTGTAGAATACACTGTCATAGAATATAACTCCATATCAGATCAGTTCGTTGAATATAAGACAAAGTGTCATAGTATTAAAAACTGAATGATGTTTCTAGGGCAACTTCCCTGCTTGAAATATTTTGAAGGTAAATATTGTATTCATCACTAAGCTCCATGAGAGTCATCTTTGATTGAAGATAATGACATTTCTACAACAAGAAACTTCAGAACGTCACGTTTAACAGAGAATGGCATCATCATAATTGCATTAGAGCGAAAAATAATGAAAATTTTGATCGTCACGAAGCCATCGTCGAATAAAGGATGAACAAATACAAACAAAACTTTACTTAACATTTTGAATTATCAGAGATTCATTCTTGAAGGTCTCTCGTTTGAAGATCATTTGAAGTTAAAATCGACAGACCAATCAGACGATTAGTTGATGTGTGTATTTACTCACTAATTGAAAATACAAAGTGCGCAATTTACTTACACATATCTCATTCCACACTGAGTGTATTTGTATGAAGTATTTCCCTTCAATATCGTCAAGTACATATGCAACTATCAATTTGATAACGAGTCATTATTCCTTTCAGAAACAGGGAATGATGCTATAATTACAGAAGCGTATACGAAAGCTCGTATTGCATTTGCCGATGGCACAGGTAATTTTACATGGTTATTTGATTTGATCACATTTCATATTTAATAGTTATAGTGGTGGATGCACTTCTCAGAGAATTTCATTTTACTAAAAGAGACAGAAGTATTCTGTGTGGCTAATGACGTATACATTATCAAGTTTTCGTATTCCCTAATTCCACATACGGCTGGCTATATCATTGACAAAATTAGCAATATTACTTGTCACATTTATATTGGAATCTGCAAACTGTTGAACAGTTAGTGAGGATCAGATGTGAAATATCTTTGCACAAAAGAGTCGAGTCTACTGCTCATATGGTGTTATTTTCATATTATCGAAACACGTAAAACTATTCCGATAAAGCTTCAGTGACTTCATCAATGCATCATAGAATAAAGCCACAAACGTTTATCACATATTTTATGAAGTCCAGAATAACAGTTACATTGAAACTACATGACATGATCGAGTATAATGAGATTTGAGCCTGATTTTATACTAATGCAACGTTGAAATGTAACAGTGAAATTGCTTGTGACACATCACTGACAATCTATTTTATTGTTTTAGATGCACTACGTGACAAAATAAAACTACTGGAAATGAAGAGGATTGAATTTTTAAAGTGTAAGTTGAAATACTGACATTAATTAGAATTGGTTAGTTCAACCCCTAGAATTCAGAATAAACTGGCTCCTGACTGAAATGAAGGAAGATGCCAAGCAGTTATAATGAAGTGAGTTTCTATTTAGATGCTCAGCATATTCTTAGTTTCTAACCAATTGCACAAGTGAATATGAACTTAAAGATGGGTTTTGCCGTTAGCTGAAATCAGCTATATGAATGCTTGAGAAATAAATAACATTGAAATTTTGTCCACTCTCATTTCTTGTTTACTCATCAGTTAACAAGCATGTCATAACTCACCTACTGGCTGACTAGTCACATGATCACAGTCGGCGGCTGTGCACAATATCACGTCTGAGAGTATCGTATATTGAAATGGTGCTTCGCATAGCCGATTTCCTGTGAGGGGAATTATAATTTGGAACCATTCAGATAATGCACACAGCTATTCTGTGTTTCAATCTTCCCTGGAAGTACTGCCTTAAGACTGGTGTCATTGTTGGTTAGATAACAAACTGTCAACAATAATTCTGCTATACAAGATACGTTTCTATTCTCAACTCATTTGTACTTTGCTTGCGGTTTCATTTTGTTTCAGCTGCAGGAAAGGAAATTCGATTCCAAGGGGAATTCAAGCAGTATTGGTGAAGGGAACACATTGTTTGCTTATCTCTTTTTTGTTTAATTAAATATAATATATTTTGTTTCTTAAGATCTCGTTCCAGTTGACGTTTTCTGTCTTTCTAGTGGAGTGCGTTATGTGAGAATAAAGTGACTGATTGTAAAAATAGACTAAACTGTTATGCACAAATCGAGGATTTATTGTGTTTGGCTAACGAAGTGTAGCCAAAGTGTGTAGCCGAGAGGAACTGTCAATGAGGAGAAGTGTCAATATTAACCAAAGACTAAAAAGCACATATATGCACAAAGAAATCCAATCCATATTTTCAAGTTATCTGATACTTGATACATTTCCAGGAAATACAATGGGAGAGCTGACTTGTGAAAACTTTTAGCACGTGGGTTGGTTGACTTTAGGTTATTTTGTCAACCACAGTGTACAATATAATCTAATATATAATATAAATTCTCAGTCACAATATGCGTCATTCAAATGCTGATGGATATTTATGGAAAACAGTGCATATAAGTCAGCAGTCAGTGAGTTAGGCAGTCTGGCAGTCCGACACTGAACGCATAGATAGAGAGAGAACTTACGAGCAGGAAAGTGAATTACAAGATTGCTGGAGTCATGATTTTCATGATTGCTTCCTTAAGTCAACACTGATTTCTGCTAGTCAAGCCTGCATCACTACTGACCATTCCATGATAGGAAAATTTTGTGTGTGTAATGAAATTGAACACTGATACAGTATTACATAATTAATTAATTACTGTGTGCCTGTATCATCAAATGAATTTCTTCATTGTATGATTGAATCCATCTATACTGTTCCGCAGTGTATGCATATGCTCTCCTCTCCTCAAATGTACTGTGATGCTTTGCAGTCACCTTATGTTGACAAGGTGGTGGTGGTTTCAATCAATCAAACGGGAAAGCTAAGCTTTTTTGGGGAGAATTGAAGACATTTTGCAGTTAACGAGTTACCTAAAACATGATGAAAGTGATGATTAATCATTGGTTGAAATTCAGATATCACAAATTTGTAGGAGTACTGTACTACTACTACAAGAGAAAAATACATACAACAGTTAAAGGAGTCTATCTCTTCATTAATGAATACTGAAGACTGGTTTGAATAATAGGATGTGGCGAATAGAGAAAGAGTGATATAGACAGAGTAAGAGAGACAGTGATGAATTTATAGGTAGAAATATGCTGATAGTGGGTGAGTGTGATTCAATCGGTGTTTGTATGTGTTTGTGCTTGTGCGTGCCTGTGTTTATGCTCTTGAAGGTATTTTATCCCACTACACGTTTTTGAGCTGAGATGAAAGTTTTCTCATTAGAGTGAGACTGTTGCGGGGCAGAGATAACCTGAGAGCCTATTGGGAGGTAATCATATGAGAAATAGTGTATGTTCATGTATCATTGATATCAGAATAAAACTTGTGCACTGTGGTAGAGTGTAATTCCATTATGGGTAAATTTTGTTTTGAGAGAATAAAATTCACCTTCGAAGCGGAAAATGAGCAAGGAGAATTAGCTATGTTAGATTGTAAAATAAAACGAATAGAAGAAGGCAAACTACACACTAGTGGTCATAGAAAACCAACGCATTCTAATAAATATTTAGACTTTAATTCATCTCATCCATTACCTGTCTATGAAGGCAGGATTAGTTAAGCGTTTAACAAACCGAGCAATGACACTAAGTAGCACAAAAAAAACCCAAATGATGAAACAAAACAGATAGAAGAGGCGTTGATGTTGAATAAATATCCTGTAAAATTCATTAGGAAGTTCAGTAAAGGCCAGAAACAATATAAAAATAATTGTGAAACTAGTAATAATAACATAAATAAGAGAGAATAAGTCATCTACAGTTATACCATATAAAGAGAGGACATCTGAGACCCTACGTAGGATTCTAAATAAAGCAGGAATTCGGGTGGCATTTAAACCTACAAACTCAGTCAGGCAGGGATAAGCTCTGTAGGTTAAAGGACCCAGTTGACCCAATTAGACAAAATAATACAGTTTACAACATACCCTGCAATGACTGTGAATGCGATCAACTACATAGGGCAAACTAGTAGGTCAGGGGTAGTCAGATTGTCAGAACAAAAGAATTTAGCTAAGGTAAGAATGGTTGACCCAGAGAAGATAAGTAATTTAGAAAAAAGCTCAACAATTGCAATGCATGCATTAACACACAACCACATAATAGGGTGGGTGGGAAAGGGTTAAAATTCTAAAAAGTAACCTAGGTAGGTGGAGGGAGAGGTTGATTACTGAATCCTTGTTCATCGAATCTACACCCAATACATGCAATAGGAATGATTCATCACTCATACTGGAAATATGGAAAATATTACCACCAATCAAATCAAGTGAAAAACAACGGAACTACATAAATGAATTGAGGAAGTCGTGTGATTACCTTGATATGATTATGAGCAATAAATTGTGCTCGAAACGTCATCAGTAAACATTACTGTATAACACTGTGAGACTTTATCAAAATAAAATTTACCCTTAATGGAATTATGTTCATGTATGCCTGTGTGATTCGCATGTTTGTGTCGTGTTCTCATCTGAAGGGAGCGGGATAAATGGTGACAGAGATGGATAGACAAACATACAGTCAGATAGAATAGTGTGTGTACGTTTGTGAGTGAAAGAGACAGAGAATTGTGAGAGTACGCTAAGCCTCCTCTACTGGAACGCTACCCCATCAACAATGACAACACACAAACATCTTCCCTACATTCATTTTCCCTTGAATAACAACTAGCTTATGTGCTTATAACTTGTGGGCACACTGCCAGTTCACCTGTGTATTGGAAAATCTACAGCAGGAGATAAGACGTATAAAAATAGCTTCGATGAATAACTATTTGCACGATAAAATTGTACGAAATTGTATAGGAGATTATTAGGCAAAATGTGAAATCACCGACAGATGTGGTATAACTAGTAAGTATAGGCATTAGGCTGGAAGCATCAGAATGAGGTGACTCAAAATACTCATAGTACTATAATACAGATAATCAATCCCTGAAACTTTATTCACGATATTTACATGGTAGGAACAAAAGTGACATTTTAACCCCGTTAATTCCCCTCAAACACAAACTACGTTGGTTGAAAATACTCTGCTGCATAGATCAAAGTACTGCACGGACGTTTCTGAAGCATTAACTATTTGGCAGACAACATGGAGTTTGCCTGACAGTTGAAAATTTCCAGACAGGAATTCAGATTAATGAAGGAAGCTATGGTGACAAATTTATCCGGAATTAAATGAGACGACATAAGTGTAAAGCTAAAGTCACCAGATGGTGTGATATTATTAGCGATTAAATGCATTGAGGTGGAACACAAGAAAGAAAGTTTGAAAAGTACAAGAAAAGAATCATCAAAGCTTTGCAGGAGACCAACAATTTTACTTAAGCTAACAAAATGTAGTGAGAACGGGCTCAATTGAGGACGTCAATTTGGTAGGTAAACGCCAACAAAATTTCTGGAATACAAAATCCCTGAGAACTGTCGACATATTCATTCTATTATGTTGAAGAATGTAAAAGTAAGCTGAACTGTAAGATTACAAGTAGCTGAACAAAATCACCCAGCAACAAGCTGACAAGTTGATAAGGTCAATTTGTGGGACAGATTTTTTACGAAAGTCAGGTTAATAGATAGAAAAAATAAAACCAGAAGTGGGTATGTTTTACACCTGTGGAGTGTACGTGAATATGTTAAGTGTTCCTAAGAGAATTGTTAGAGAGATAATGAATGGTATGAAACCAAATTTTAGGATTACCATTGGGTATGAATATGAACAACATTTGCAGTAACCGATGCCATCGCACATTCTGATATGAATAAAAACCAAATTAAAGTAAAATAAAAATTTGAAACTCGTAAACACAGTACATAGTCAGCGAGGCCATTGCTCACACAATGATAAGAGTATTTACTATATGAGAGAAATGCGTTCTAAAATATTTTTGTTAAACAGTAAGTCGTTACAGGAAGATAAATTAGTGGATTTTCACTGAGATGTTTCCATCACGACAGTACACCTTCAGTGTGCACTAAAGCTAAAATGAAAGATTGTCATTTAATCGTAGGAGGAATGCAAACCGTTTTCTAATGATGTAAAGCACAGATTGAACACTGATATCTAGAAAGTGATTGCAAAGTATTTTCCTGGATTTTATGAGAACGTGCTGAATAAAATCATTTTTCAAGAGGCTATTGAATTTCAAAGTTCTTGATACATCCACTTTCAGAATGGCAGTGGCAACGAGAGCCTCCAAAATTACGCTTGGCAGGACGATACATTCTACATTGTCACTCGAATCCAGGCTGAATATGCTAGAATTATCAG